AAAGCCCCGGCTAAAGCATCCGAAGCGAAAAGAACAAGAAGGGATCGTTTGAGAGATGGAAGATATTATGTTTAAGCTCTTTGAAAGGCAATCCAATTGGACTTTACGACAACTAATTCAAGAGACAGATCAACCTGAAGTATGTATTTTGATCGTTTGATCATACATAACTTTTAGATGCTGGCTTGAGTTTTTGATGCCATTTACTGTCATTTTAACTAAAAATAAACAAATTACTTTGCAGTATTCCAGCCATTTAAAATGAACCTTTATTTTTGTTTTTTCAGGATTTTGTTATGACCTTTTATCTTTGCAGCAATTTTTGAAAGACATTCTCGAAGAACTTTGTGTTTACAACAACAAGGGAACTAACCAGGGCTCGTATGAGCTGAAGCCAGAGTACAAGAAACACGGCGATGAATCAACTCCTAAATAGGTTCTTAGTATGCCTTTGATTAATTACTTCGTTAAGTTATCGATTCAAGCTACTTTCTTGTCCATAAAATATTTTCTTTTTTGTATTTTTCTGTAAGCAGTATTCAGGTATATTTTCAAATGCAAAAGAGAAATTTTGAGATACAAACAATGAGTCTTTCTATTTTCTTAGCTTTAATTTTCAAACCGAGACAGTGCACAGTTACTGAGGGTGTAATTGATGTAATTTCAAAATAAGATGGTTAATTTATAATTTTAGTAATTTAGGGGTTAAAATATAATTTATTAATTCAGGGTTAAAGGGCATTATGGTAATTGTACCCTCACTATCCTAAAAAATGTTAACAATGTTATTTTAAAGGTGGGAATCTGAAATAAATGGAACATGTGGTACCAACTTAGGATTTCGTTAAACCTTGGGTGGGAATATGTCGTTTACTCTTATTATTATTATTATTTATTTTATTTTTTTTGGCCAAGGGTATTCGGGTCAACTTGACCAAGCTCTGAAGTTAACGATCGGGTAAGTCTCTAATGACCACCATTATTAAGGGTTGAGATGAATCGAACTCATAATTTCTTGAGTAATATACCCAAGAGTCCTAGTTGACTATTCAACCACCCAATGGTGGTTTTAGCACCACTATGTTTGTTTCTATAAATATCAGCAGTACTTTTAATTATTTTAGTGGGAATTGTTGAGATTTAACTTAAAAATTAAAAATCTCACATCAATTATGAATTATAGGGCATATTACGTAATGGAGAACAAAATCTTATCAATAACATTACCGAATAAAACTATGTGTACTAACCAATGTATACTAATCCAAGTACTAATATTGAAAATTTGAAATTCCCTCCAAAATTTTTTTTTCAAATTTCTAATGTTAATACTGGGATTAGTACATATTAATTAGTGTACATAGCATTACTCAATATTACCCCATTCATTCTAAAGAATAAAGGCTAGGTTTAGGGATAACCTAACCCAAACTCTATGACACATTTAAGATTATATATGACGACATAGTATATGAAAAAAAAAATACATTAAAAATCTCAGAATTAATCCAATCTTTTAAATTATTTACGACCTTTTTTGTTTTGTCTTGTTTCAAGTAAAATTGTGGCTCAGGCTGCCCACGCCACGCACAGAGAGAGACATTAATGGTCATGCTTGGCTCCTCGACCCTGAGTCCTGACCCACCCAAGTCGATGTGACCTGTGATGGTTCCATTTTTATACCCAAAAAAAGAAAATATGATAAAATAGTAATAAAAATCAATGTCAATATCATCTCACGACAAAAACAATGGTATGATTCTAGTTCTAGAACATCATCCATGACGTTTAATCGTTTATGTAACCAACTATTCAATTTCTTTTCATCTCTCCTTTTTACTATATTTATTAAGTAATAATAGGGTTATTTACACTACAGCCCTATAGGCTTGGCTGAGCACCCGCTAGTTTCACCATTACAAGTAAACCCCCATTTTTTTCATTCCATCTAAATTTAATAATAAAATAAGAGTAAACAACATTTTCCCACCCATGGTTTCATAAATTATAGATTCCCACCCTTAAATTAATACTGTTACTTTTCTCTCAAAATAAACCTTACATCTGAAATTTCTCTCAAATAACCCCCAGAAGAGATCCTGACCAAGCCAAAAATATGGCTTGATTCTGGCACTGTTGAACCTCCCTGACACCACCATCAGCATCCCCTTATCCTCTTCACCAAAACACCTAACTTTTCCACTCGATTGCACCTCGACAAGGTGTCAGAATTTAGTTGGAAAGGCGCGACAAAACACGAAAACCTATGGGAGAAGTTGCGACGATCTGTCTGCAATTGCGGTCAACGATGTTAGGAGTTTTGATGGGGGAAAGCCGATGATGCTATTGGTGGTGTTGGGGGTGGTTTCTGATGTCGGGACCTGCCGAAATTTGGATAAAATGCCGACTAAAACTAAGAGCGGTGGTTGGCGATTGGGGGGTTCAATCAGGCGGAGAGGTTAGAGGTTTTGATGTGGGGGTTGAGAGAATTGTAATGGTGTTGTCAGTAGGGGCTGACTGTGTCGGCAACAGACCATAATGGCCTGAAATCATAAGTGGGGTAAATTTGAGAAGTCAAGGGTTATTTTAAAAGTTTATGGTGGGATTAATGTGAGAAGTCAACGGTTATTTTGAAATGACCATTTTACCCTTTTAACTGTTAGATTAAACCGTTTTTTGTTAATTTAAAAGGTGGAAATCTGCAATTTATGAAGATTTGTCAAACCTTGGTTGGGAAAATATCGTTTACTCCCTATAAAATAATGAAATTAGCGGGTGCTCAAAAATTAGATCAAACCTATGGGCTTTTATTGTAAATTACCAGTAATAATATAATGGGTAAATTTCATTTGCATCTCAAATGCCTTAATGACTTTTAGGAAGTATAAAAATCTTTCTATTAAGAGGTTCTTTTAAAGGTTTTTGATAATTTTATAGAAATATTTATTATTTCTCAAAAATAAAAATATCAATGGGTGCGTTTGGTTTATTATTTTGGATATGATTTTTGGAATAATTTTGGGTAGTTGGATGGGGGAGTATTACGAGGTAAAATTTAAAAATATATTAAAAAAACCCCAAGGTTTGTTAATTTAGTTAAACACCCCAATATGTAAAATAACAAAAATACCCCCACCACCTGCAGTGCCAGATTCCGGCTACCACTGCCGGAATTTGGCCAAAAAATTTCGTTACGACACAGACCGATCGGATCTGTGTCGTAATGCGTTGCTATGGCCTTTTTCCGCCAGATCCACCACGGATCTGGCCGGAAAAGGCCAGATCTACTCCCAAATGTGGCCGTCGACGGCTGCAAAGGTCCATCTTTGGCCGTTGTTTTTGGTCAACGATGGCCAAGTTTTGGCCGTCGCTGGCGGCTAGATCGGTGAATAACCGATCAGTTCCGAGCTTGTTTTAAGCCGTTGTGATAGATTCCGGCTACCACCGACGGTGGTTGCCGGAATCTGGCAAGTATGGGGGGTGGGGGTGTTTTTGCTAATTTTTGAACTTTTTTCTGGGGGGTATTTAGTGAAATCAATAAACTTAAGGGGTCAAAAGTTAATTAAAAAAATTACTAATATTTCTGGAGTAATGTGCCAAACAATATTTGGGGAATAGAATTGGGAATATGGGAAGAAATACTGAACCAAACGCACCCGATACCCTTAAGATTTAGTTATGTTTAAAGGAATAAAATTTAAGAAGAAACATATGTTGACAAACACTTTTCATAACTTTCTCTCACAAACGTGACGTGAGAGCTCGTAATTGATGCATTTGGTCAAGCGGGACAAATTGTTGGACGGACATGATCCATTGCGAACTGACACATTGCATTTATGAGAGAAAGTTAGTGAAAATGATTTGTCAATGTAGTATTACCCAAAATTTAATTCAAATTTAATTCTTAGATTTTAACTTTTAATTCTTATGAATTATACTGCATATACAAATTCTTTCATATGTAATACGAATTATTAATAAAAAATTAAAAAAACATTATTAATAAATATAAATAAATGATATGAATATTCCTCAAGTTTTATATCTCAAATAACTTAAACACATCTCTTCCTTTGTGGTCACTGAGGTTAGTTATATCAAATGGGTCTTGTGTTCGAGTCCCAAGAGAGGTACTTATCACATTTGTACACTTATTTTGGTCCATCGGGCTTATAGCCTGTTTTGTGGCCCTGAAGTTTGGTCCATCGAGCATATAGGCTATTCCGTGGCCTTGAGGTTTGGTCTATTGGGCTTGTAGGGTGTTTCATGACCCTGAATATTAGACAAGCTCTAATATAGGCCTGAAAACCTCAAATAACCTTATTAAAAAAAAAAAAAAAAAAAAAAACACTTAAACACCAAATTAGTAATGAATTTTGTTTCCCTATCCTATTTGTATTCCAAATCAAAATGCATATTTGTTTTCCTATTCTCAAAACCATATCATAAATTATTCAACTATTTTTAATATTAAATCATATCTCGTAATAACCACTCAACTCCACCTAACAATAATATTTTAAAAATGCTACTCCAAATAACTAAAAAACTTGTTTGTTTCTCTATTATATTCGTATTCCAAATCAAAATGTATATTTGTTTCCCTATTCTCAAAATTATATCCTAAATTATTCACCTATTTTTTAATTTTCAAATCCTACTTCGTAATGAATACCCAACTATACTTAACAATAATATTTCAAAAATATTACTCCAAATAACTAAATAAAATAGCGCTATTATTTTGTATACGTGATGTTTTTCTTAGAAAGTGAAGAAAATCTTAAATTAAAACATTTAATTTTAGAGCACCCAAACTTAAAATGCAATTTTGTTATATCACAATTCACAAAACGTGGAAAAATGGAATCGAGCCGTCATCTCTCCAACTTCCTCTAAGGTATAAAATAAAATAATGACACGCAATTATCACGGCTGTTTTTACTTTATGGTAAGCGCTGACCAAACCAATGAGAAGGAGTCCTAATTCCAAAAGGGAGTGTGGTTACCACGGCGTCGTTTCCTTCTCAAAAACTCTGTAATAAACAAACGAGAACACAATAGAGCATTACCTCTTTCTCTCCTATTTTCCACCTAACTCTTTGATTCCTTTCCTTCATCTTTTTCTTACTCTTCTCTCTTCTTCGTCCTTCTCCTCTCTTCGGCCTCATCTCTTCAGGTATCGTTCAGTTTTACTCTTCTTTTTTTATGGCCTTTTTGTATTTTTTATTTTCGTTTATTATTGTTTGTGATTGTTCATAATTGATAATTCTTCGTCTTTCGTGCCCTTTTTTGTCTTGATTTTTTTTTATTTTATGATTTTTAGATGATTAATAATTGGAGTTTTCTGGGTTTTCTTTATCTCTACATTATTAATGATCATCTTTTTTTTTATTTTTTATAATTTCGTCGCGGTTTATGATGATTGACTTCGTTAATTTAGATCTTTACATATGTTTAAATCCTTTTATTAAATGAATTTTGAAAAAAAAAATTCTTAACTTTCGATCGGTGCATGGTAATATGTGACTTTTTTTTACGGTAATGGTTGATTATACGAAAAAAGCATTAATTTCATGGGTTTTTTTTTTTTTTTGAATGCTCTCGTTTTTCTTTTGTTTATTTTAGTACTGATCCTATGACAGGCCATAGTTGATCAATCTGGGTTTTTAGGGTTTTTTGCTCAAGTGTTGTAATGGATCTGTGTTTGGACAATTATGAACAAGGAACCCCAAGTTTCTTTTTTCATTTTGTTTGTTTTACAGAGGTTATTAAACTGATTCATGGTTGAATTCTTGATGATCATATGCTACCTAATACGTGTGTTTACATTCATTTACTTCTTCTTTTCTTCAATTTCTAATAGAGGATTAATTATATTATTTTTGGAAAATGCATAGTTTCTTATTTAAACTTTTTATATGAATCAATTCAACAACTGTTGTTTTTGCATACACATTTGGCTTTTTGCGTTTTCTTGTTTCTAAAATCTTTTGGCAGTATTGCTTATTGCATATCTTTTATGTGCAGGTGACTTTACATTGCAATAATAATGGGGAGTTTCTTCAGAGGCCTAAATGAGGATTCAGTTACTTCTCCACTAGACATTCTTAGATGTCCATTTTTGAGGAACATTAATGAGCCCACTAATTTCTCCTTCGCATCATCCTTGCCGTTCCCCATGCCAGTAAGTTATCTATTTTTGCTTACTTAAGCATATCAGAGCTTTTTTTTTTTTGTACTTTCATCATCTTGTGGATTGCCTTTAAACTCCCTAGACTGATGTTATTTTCCCTTTTTTTCCTGCTCAGGTTCGCGCAGCCAAAGGTCCAATTTTTGAGGATGGTCCAAATTTTGATATGGCTTTCAGGCTTTTTCATGGGCGTGATGGAGTAGTCCCGCTTTCTGAAAGATCATTTGTGCATCGTGGGGCAGCAGAACCTGAGTTAGCCCCACCACGGTTCAATCCTTTAGCTGCTAAAGCAGCCACTATCAGTTTTTCATCCTTTGGACCTGGAGGACCTTTCAGTTTCGATTCATTTTCAGAGAAGTGGAAGAATCAAAAAAGAAAATCAGAATCGTCCAAAAAAGAGTCTAATTCACAGGTACAACTATATGCATTTTCAAATTTAAGAAACAATTCAAGTTCTTAAAATTTGAATTTGAAAATTCTTATAATATTTTTTTCTGGAAGGCTGAATTGTATTGGGGTTTTAGTGGTTCAAGAAAGATTATAAATTCTGTTATTTCCATAGAAACTCTACAACCTCAAAACCAATGTTCTGCTTTTTCTTTGTCTACCCTCCTGACATGTTTGTGTGTTGATCTTTCAGGGAGGAAAATCTAATCATGAGGCTATGAGCAATGACTGGCTACAAAATGGGAACTGTCCAATTGCAAAGTCATATCGTGCAGTCAGCGGTGTCCTACCACTTGTTGCAAAGGTTTTTCAGCCTCCTCCTGGCATGCAATATAGGTGCCCACCAGCAGTAGTTGCAGCCCGAGCTGCTATAGCACGAACTGCTTTTGCAAAGAACCTTCGCCCTCAACCCTTGCCTGCAAAAGTACTTGTGATTGGGATGTTGGGTATGGCGGCAAATGTCCCCTTAGGTGTATGGAGGGAACATACTAAAAAGTTTTCACCATCCTGGTTTGTTGCTGTCCATGCAGCTGTTCCATTCATAGGAATGCTCAGAAAGTCTGTGTTGATGCCGAAGACTGCTATGGCATTTACCATTGCAGCATCTATATTGGGACAAGTCATTGGTTCTAGGGCAGAACGATACCGTTTGAAGGCAGTAACTGAGAAAAGACTGGCTATTGAAGAGAATTCTGTTGGTAATACAAGTCAGTTACAGGTTGTTGCAGTTAAAGGTGGGCATTGTGGCAGTCCCATGGAATGGAATTCAGCTCCTCTTCAGGTGGCCAGATCTTCTACTTCTGCGGACGTTTTCTGCTGATTTTACATCAGATCAGTGATAATTGATCAAATTGTATGTTTGTGTCCCATATTTTGTGTTTGTAATTGCCCCTGCCTTATAGCAGACCTGTTTTTGGCTATTGAGGAAATAATAAGAGGTGAAAAATGAAAATGATTGATTTTTAAGTATCTGTATAAGCATTGTTCAAGTGTTATTTCCTTTTATGTAAGAGACATCCTTTTGGGACGTGGAATTAAGAATAAAAGATGATTTTTTAAGTAAATTATTTGTCTGAATTGCAAATGTTGAGGTGAAGTGGGTACAACTTCCATTGGAAATTTCAACAAAGCCGGCTGCTGAGTGCTGACTATCTCACTTTTCAGCCAGTTCTGAATATTTTATATTAGTCGTAGTTTGAAATTGTATTTGGTGCAGGTACAATAACAAAGATCTGTGACTGGGTCGCTGTGGTGACATTTGTATTGCACTGTTTATTTGGGACTAGTTGGATTCCCACCAGGAGAATATTAAACCCTGCATAATTGTTTATCATAATTGACAACTATAGACTTATAAAAGCAGCAATGTTTATCCTAATTAACCACCGATTGCCTTATCAATCCAGCAATAATAGCTGGAGGCTCGAAGTACCTTCCTTTCCTTTGAGATAGATATTGTTAAGTTCTTATCGTTTACTCATAAAAAATTTTTAAATTGATGGGCCGAGTGAGTGGGTTGAACTTTATGCGGATTAGGCTGAATTGAATTGGGTTGAATTGTACCCAATTGGCGTTTTTGGCATCCCTACACAATACAACCAACATAGAGAAAACAACGTATTCCCGTCTAAGGTTTAGTGAAATCCTAAGTTAATATCTCTGGTTGTATTTATTATAGTAACAAAGCTACAAACACCGGTATTTTTGCATCGAAAATGTATACTGGCTTACGTGTCCCCCTGATTCACACTAGCAATCCAGACACATGATTAAACAATAAATATTTTTCTAGTGAACGACTGTCCATCAAATATGATCGGTAATTCACTGACATGAACTCCCGTCCATATTATATGGACGGGGGTCCATTTACTACGGATGGACGTCTCCATTTAAAGGACGCCCGTCCATAAGTAAAATGGAATAATTTTTTTTTAAAAAAAAATTAGGAACGGTTGTTCATAGGTTATGGACGGCTGTCCCTAAATATTGGACAGGCGTTCATATTTTAATGGACGCCTGTCCATTAACAATTCCTTTTAAAAAATGAAAAAATATTTAGGGACAGTCGTTCATCCGTTATGGACGGCTGCCTACAAATAAGGGACGTTCGTCCTTAACCAAAATATAAAAATTAAAAAAAAAAAAAACCTTGGTGACGCCCGTCCATGAATTACATTTGGGCGGACGGCCGTAATGAATAGACTCCCGTCCATTAACAATGCACATCATTATAAAATATTACATTTCCTTCTTCCGCCACGTTCCTCTCACTCACCTCCTTATATCACCATTACTCTTTGCTCCATCTCTCACAATCATTTTCATATTTCTTTCCCATTTCGTGATCATCAATAGTTACAATCGTCCATCATGTCTTATCGTCCAAGGTCCATGAGCACCCAGGAGTTCTACGACAGAGCACCAACCTCATATCTGATGGTGAAGTTTTTGACGGCAGCCGCAATAGGTGCATCACTGTTATTCTTAGCAGGTTTAACCATAACCGGGACAGTGATAGCTCTGATTTTGGCTACTCCAGTACTAGTCCTATTCAGTCCAATTCTAGTCCCGGCTAGGATATTGACTTTCTTGGCTGCTACTAGGTTCTTGTTCTCCGGCGGGTGTGGCGTGATTGTGATAACGTTGTTATCGTGGGTATACGGTTACGTGACAGGAAAGCACCCACCGGGAGCTGACTAGCTAGATTATGCTAGGATGAAGATAGCTGACAAGGCTAGGGATATGAAGGAAAGGGCCAAGGAGTATGGACGGTGTTATCTGATAAAAGAGAAATTATGCAAGGTCAATGAATTTTTTTATGTGCTTAGGTCAGACTTCATTTGGGCAGTGCCCTGGACTTCAGTCCAGGTCCAAAGCGCCCTAAACAACATGGTACACAAAAGCAAGCACTAACTTACCTACAAATCACTTGACAAGTCCTTCACGTTGTCTTCTGAGAGCTTCTTTTCCTGCAACAAAATGTTGAAGATAAGTAAATACTACTTAAAATGAAAAATAAAGGACGGGCGTCCATTTAATACGGATGCCCGTCCAAATGTAAGGATCGCGACCCCAAAGTTTATTTTATTTTATTTTCATATTTGGGTTAAGAATAAACGTCTCTTATTTGCAGGCACCTGTCCTTAACCCAAATATGAAAATAAAATAAAAATTAATCTGGCTTGTAATAATGAGAAATAAGATTTGATTGAATTAAAATCTAAAATATCATTGATATTCAACTTTAAAGGTTAGAAGTTATCGGTAAATTTAATCCGAATTCTATTTATAATTTAAAAAAAAAAATAGATAAATGGATTTGCAGAGATTGAGCTTAAATAAAGTTAATCAAGGAGTGGGGTTATTTAAGCCCCATCAACTTTCTTTCTAAGCCCTAGTAATAATTTTTTTATAAAATATATATTTTCAAACTAATAATTACCAAATAGGACATTTATTCATTTGTTACACCCCATATATCACAAAACTATTTTTCTCAATTCCCTAAACTCTTCATATAATTTCTTTTTTTTTTTTTTTTTTTTTTTTGGTAGAAGTGTGTTTTGAAGTTATGTTGTCATGGTTGAAATTATTTTGAAGAAATGAAAAACATTGAACCGAACAATGGAAATAATATAATAATGGTTGAAATTATTTTGAAGAGATGGAAAATTGAACGAATGCAATATGTAAATCGTTTATGAGAGCGATAAAGGCTAGCTGATTATGCCTGAGATTTCTTACTTGGATTGAGAAAAACCAGAGAATTTTGCTTCTTTGGTGGGTTAGATACAAAGTGAATACAGATGGGTATACAAAAGCAAAAGACCAGCTCCTGTTAAATTATTAACCACATTTGCAGGTCTTTCACAACTCGCAATGGCTTTATGCGTGCAGTCATGTCATCATTTGCTTACATTCATAACTCTTCACATGAATCTGACTTTTCTTTTGTCCACACATGGGCATTTCGCGTATTAATCTTATAAACGTGTGGCTTCTTTTTATTGTAATTTTATTTTTAGGTGATTCAATATGTCCACACCATAAGAGCTGGACACTCTTGTCATTCATTTGTGATCACAGTTTTCTCAGCAAGAGACAATTCAGATAATAGCTGCATTCTCTTAATTATTCTAACTTTTCAATAATACATGCGTTGAATTTTCACAATGATGGGGCTCTTTCCCATTATGTGAACCAAAACAACTATAATTAATAGACCCTTAAGTCCTAACCTTATCTTCTTCCTCTCGCTGTCTGTCATTGAGTAAACCTTCACTTTCACAAGAATTTCCATTACTAATCTCATCAACCAACCACTGAATATTCATGTCCGACGAGCCCCCGCCGGCCACTGCCTTCCTTGCTGCAACCTTCAATTCCGTTAAGTTCTTCTTGTACTCTTCTGATTTGGGTCCACTAATGATTTCCTTAATACATTTTCCCACTTCCTCAGTACTAACAATACCGTCACTGTTTGGCCTCATCCTTAGACCAATCTTAAAAACATCAGTTGCAAGCTTTGCATTCGTTGGCTGGTCGGTCCATTGAGGATATGCGATCACTGGCACGCCTGCAACTATTGTTTCTGACATAGAATTCCATCCGCAATGAGTTATGAAACATGCAATAGCCGGATGGGCCAAAACTTTGGTTTGGGGACACCAAGATGCAATAAAGCCTTGGTCTTTCGTTTCTTCGACGAACCCATCTGGTAATTCTCCTGCACCGTCAGGTGTTGGAACTTCTGGTTGCTTGGCAACCCATAAGAACGGATGGTTACTATTCTTTAGAGCTGTTGCTATGACCTCCATTTGTTTTGCTGAAAAGACGATGATGCTACCGAATGATACGTAAATAACTGAAGAAACTGCCTGTTTGTTTAGCCATTCTAAGCAAGCATTTTCCGGTGTCCAGAGTTCAACACCGACATCGAATTTTTCATCTTCACCGAGTAGCGAAGTGGGGACCAGAGGACCGACGGGTCGGATTGGACAAAGCTCAGACATGGAGTCAATGACTTCTTTCTCTAACTCAAAGAATGAATTGGCTAATACCCAGTTGTGCTTCTTCATGTTTTGGAACAAGTCAGAGAATATTTTAAGGAGGCTACTGAACGGATTTGAAGGAAGAACAAATGAAGGCAGATCTTCTGTGGACAACAGTGGTAATCCTGGTAACTCAACACTTAAGTCAGGGTTCTCTAAGGTGGGAAACGAGTTTAGTTTATTGAAAAAACGATAATAAATAGCAAAGAGTGAACATGGTTGGATCCAGAGCAAGGCACAAGGGACTTTATGCTTAACAGCAACATCAGCCGCCCATGGAACAAACGGATTGATGATGATGCAAGAGAGTTTCTTATGGTTATTATAGTAGTGTTCTTTGATAAGGTTTGAGAGGTTAACGGGTCCGACTTTTTCTAGAGTTTCAAAGTAGTGTTCTAAATTGGCTTTGCGGTCATAGTCTAAGTCGAACCCATCAGAGAAAAACAGAAGTTGGATATCAGAAATAGAATGGCTTGCGGTGCCTTTGCTGACGTTGTTGTTGTTGTCGTTCTCGTCAGTGGTGGCGGTGAATTGTTTTAGCATGCGTTGTTTGGTGGTTTCGGTGCAGGCAAGTGTGACATGGAGGCCTTTGGAGACAAGGCGTTTGCCAAATCTAAGCAATGGATTAATGTGACCTTGAGCTGCGAATGCCACCATTAGCACATGATGATGAATGACTTGTTTGTCTTCGTTTAGAGCCATGAATGGTCAGACAAGCAAACTTCCCTGGAAAGACCAAGACGAGGCTACCAAAGAAAGAGGAAGGGAGGTGTTGAGGAGTATAATATGATAAGCCGAAATCACATGCCATATATATATAGACAGTCACTCGGACTTGTGAGTCTTCAATGAGCTTTAGAGTCCAGATTACCTTTTTCTTTGTGGGCACGTATATGTTTGTCTTCAGTTGGAATGAACACGCGTTAAGACAAAGGAAATCTTATATATGGTGATATGTATAGATTCCTGCTTCACCTTGCGTATAAATGTCTAATACCAGGACGTCCAGTATTTACCTCTAGAAATAAAAGAAAGAAAATAAGAACACAAATGCATACTAAATCTACGTGAAAGTTCTATCTCCAGATTCTCCACCACAATAAATCGCTAAGAAAAAATACTAAGTTCTGTTGCTTTTATTCTAACCCAGTAACCAAAATTCTAAACCCTTTGGTCTTACTCTCTCAACTCAGTTCTACAATACATTTCTGTAAAGTCTATTTTCTCTAGTTTCACTCAACTCCCTCTATAAATGTTTCTCAAACCCTTTGGTGTATAATCATGCTTCTAAGCCTCCCTTGATATAAGATTTACACACCTATGTAGATTTGAATTCACATATATACTATCCTAGTCCAATTATAACTTCGACCAAATCAAAACGAGAAAATTTAGCTACCCGACCATCCCAAATTTCGATTTAAGAAAATGGCCTTGAAAATATTTTTCATTTTTTTTTTTAATTTAGAGAAGATGACATGGCATAGTTAGGATTAATTAAACACGTAAAATGAGTTAAAATGAAAAGATTAAAACATATATGGGCTGAATCATAAATAATGAAAGTTTTTAAAATTTGAAATTTATCAAAACAAGCCCCACCTATTCACCTCGCTTAATCGCAATTCATTAGGGCAAAAAGCAATTTCTTGAAACAAAGGGAGACACTGCGATTTTTTCCGATTGAACTTGCAAATTTGCACCCTAAAATCAATTTCTTGAACCCTAAACGGAATATAGTCGCGATTTCTGACAATATAATTGCGATTTCCGATCGATTTCTTGAACCCTAAACGGAATTTGTGCTATTTTCGGCAAAACAGTCCACATTTCCGATCGAAACTGCAAACTTTGACACCAAATTCAATCCAAAACCATGGCTGACACTCACAATGAGAAGGAAAACCAACGTCACTTTGAATCCTAGATTCCAGTGGCGCAAGCAGTTCAACGGCTGCTCCGGTGGATCATCCGATCAGTAAAGGTGGTCCACAGGCAGAGGAGACAATGGCAGCACAACAACAGAGAGAAGAATCGGCAAACGGTTCTGAAGATGAGGAGTCAGGCGAGAATTCAGGCCAGGAGGAGGAGTCGTCCGAGGATTCAGGCGACGAGGAGGAAGCCGGCGAAGAAAGGGTACGTATTTGTTTTGGGAATATTGCTTGTACTGTCACTTAAGCGATCATTTGTATCGTTTAAGCGATTAATCTCTTTTACTCATGATCGCACTCATGATCTAAGCGATACAAAAGATCACTTAAGCGATCTTAGATCTGGGCAGATGATGCGATTGATTCAGTTTACTCTTGGTCGCTTAAGCGATTTCAGATCGCTTAAACGATCTTGTCGAGGCAGAATCACAGATATAAGATCGCTTAAGAGATTCTTTCAGTTTACTCTTGGTCGCTTAAGTGATCTTGCACGAGGCAGAGTCAAGATCTCTTAAGCGATCCGAAATCGCTTAAGTGACTACAGTGGTAATTTTTTGTTGCTGATATTTTGTTTATTAGTTGTTTTGGTTTATTTTTGTTGTTGACATTTTGTTTATATCGATTGTGCAGATTGTGTGGACCGTAAAATGTAGAGACTACAAGTTGGAGCTTATAAGTGAGAAGGTACCCTACTTCCTTACAAGGGCGACGGTGAGGTCGAGTTGGGATGTTTTTGACAGAATAAGGGACATTTTAGCTAGAATGAGGCATGGTGCAAGAGATTTCCATTGCACTTGTTTCGGTCAGTTTTTTAGAATCGGAACAAATTGGAAAAAGGCATTTTGGGGGCAGGGAGTGCATTACATGTTGTTGCACTCAGTAAAATGCAATACAAAAAAAAAAAAAAAATGTGGTTCGTGGTGGACGGAAAGCCACTACGGTTTGGGATGATGGAGTATGACTTGGTGACGGGCTTAGGATGCGGGGAAGTGCTAGATAAGGCAGAGGCAGACGCAATAAGGATGAGTCCGGGAGCCAAAAAGTTTCGTAAGAAAGTTTTGCAGCGGGCAAAGTCTATTACAAGACACGTTTTAGAGGAGAGGCTAGAAATAGTCCGGTTTAATGATGGAGAAAAGATAAAAGTGTGCTTGCTATTGTTTTTACATTCGATCTTATTGGCTGGTGACTCAACAAAAGTTGTTGAGAATGATTGGTTGTTGTTTGCAAGCAACTTGGAGTTCTTTAATTCTTATCCGTGGGGACGGATATCATTTGAACGAACCATCAACAGCCTGAAAAAACCAGACATGGCGTTAAAACAGGCCCAATGGGTTGGGAAGGATAAACCAAGCACGTACAATTTGTTTGGCTTCCCATGGGCAATGCTGGTAAATATTAATATCTTTTTGTTATATTTTTTATAATATATGTGTTTGAATTATGATATGGACTGTTTTTTTACAATGTAGGCTTGAATGTATGAGGCCATCCCTGTCTTCGCTTAGGTTGGGGGGAGGAGCAATAGTTTGGATTTGCAACAGTAATTTCCTAAGATGTTTCAGTGGCATGTCGAGAGGTGTACCCATTGGGCCTACGACCAAATAGACATTAAGATTGAAGCGGCTAGGGTAAGATTAAAAGATTAAGCTTTTGAATATGCAGTTGCTTTAAAATGTCGCTTCAATCTGATTGATTTTGTTTCTTATTGCAGGGAGTCGTCCGTCCCTTTCTCACCGCTACTGGGGATGAAGCGGAAGAGGACTATGTCACATCTTTCAAAGCACTAGAGGATGAAATGGATGAACGGATAGACCACTTGATACGAGACCTAAAAATGGTCACACATGTAACAGCAATTGCAGGGCCACTGCTTGACAACGTGGTTGATGCCGAGGATGATAAAGCTCCAATCGGCAAGAGGCCCGAGGATGAGGAGGAGAAGGGGGAGGAAGAGGTTTGTATGCCTTACCAAACCGGTACAACAAGTACTGCTTTGCCGAGACATTGGCGTTGGGAGAATGAGGTGGTTGACCTCATCAACGGCATGTTTGAGAGTTTTACAACAGCCATTTATGATAGGTTTGACAAGATGGAAGAGCGCATGAAAAGGGTGGAGGAGAAAGTGGATAAGCTGGCAGAGAAAGTTGGTACAGTGGAGGAGGAAATTGGTACAATGGAGGAGAAAGTTGGTGGAGAATTAAAGGCAGTTGAAGTGCAAACTGAGCTGAAAAGAGAGAGCCGAAAGACCAAGTTTGTGAAATCGCCTTACATGGTAGTGACACAGGTAAAGAAGAAGAAAATTAAGAAACAAATGGAGGAAGAACCAAAAATGGAGGAGGTTGGGGAGGTTGGTGGAGGAAGTGGGGCGGTGATAATGGAGGAGGGCGAGGTGGGAGGCGAAGGAAGCGGGGATGTAAAAATGGAGGAAAGGGGAGGAAGTGGGCAAGCGAAAATGGACTCAAATGTCGATTTGTATAGGCCAATAGAGGAAAAGAAAAAACTCTTCTATGCCTATTACAATGGATCAGGAAGTAATGTCCATATAAAGTGTAAGATAGGGGATTATCCTCAGGAATGGTTTGAGAAGATGTTGACGATGGGCACGTGGCTTAAGGACTTGGTGAGTTATTTTCGCTTAATTTTTCTTATTTTTGCCTATGTTTTCCATACTTATCTTGTTGTTTTTATTTGATGCAGCACATCGATGAGATATTGGCACTGATGAGGCTACGACAGACTACTGATGGTGATCTATTGTATCCCGACTGTGCCATCACTGATGTGACGTTTGGTCAAACGCTTGTTTCGGCATATCACACTTTAATTAAAAATGTTGTTGCTAGTGGTGCAGCAAAAGGACCGAAGCGAAAAAGATTGGCCCCACAACAGTTGGACTGTATCCCTGATGATTTTCATTTTGATGACAGGATTATGCAATATATACGGGGGGATTGGCCCAAATATGGCCACGGTTGGGCCTTTGTTAAAAGAGTGTACTGCATCATCCTCGTCAAACAGATGCACTGGATAACAGTCGTCGCGCATCTAGATGAAGGGTTATTGAAGATCCTTGACTGCAACCCAACTATTTGTCTAGACAAGTAGTTGGAGGTCGAGTTGGAGCCACTGTCTAGGTTGTTCCGCGGTTGTTGCGTGACAGCGGGATGTTTGGGCGCTTGGGTGATCAAATACTAACCGAAAAGTGGCCAATTAAGCGCTTTACCGATCCAATAAATGAGTCAAGGTAAATTTTTATAAAACTAACTTACATAATACAATTGTTCTATAAGTTTATTCTAATGCTAATGTCTTCTTCCTATTGTAGTGCTGAATGTGGGGCATATGCCCTGAAATTTATTGAGTTTCACATGACCAACACCCCGATGGATGGCTTGAATGACGAAACAATGAGAGACTGTCGGAAGGGCTGGGCTGTCGACTGCTTCCATGAGCAGATGGATCCGTTTTGAGTGAGTAGAACCCAATCAAAAGGTATGAAAGTTGGACTTTGAATTTTGTAGTTTATGTGATGTTGATGTTGATACTTGGGTTGTGGTGTTGATGCTGTAGGTGTCATGCTTATATGGAGCTTTACCAAAAGAGACGGACTAAGTGAACTTCTCACCTACCCACTTAGTAACTTTTTTATGGGTTTTTTTTAATTTACAAAAGTTAACGTGTCTGCAGGTGTGTGCCAGATAATTTTGCAAGTTCCTGACAAACAATGAGAGGAAATTTCTCAAAGGCTGGTTGGCAAGAGGAGGCATCTGCAATAAAGGCTGCTGGGAAAGTAGGGTACCAAATAATGATCTCAGATAGGTTACTGGCAAACAGAATTCGA